TTAGCAAATTAATCTGAGCTTGTTTATTTTGTAAAATACAAGAGAATTATTAGTTGCACTCTGGAGCAAGCACTTAGGCAGTAATGAAATAAAAATCATGAACTCTGCAGTGATTACAGAGGAAAATCAGGGGCTCTTGGCAAATGGCTCCACTTGGGAATCAATGGACCCACTTCCAGTCCCTCCCCATTCCCCTTCTGACAAAGCTGCACCTTCTCCACTTACAGAAGTTAATAAGGACCTAGTGCTCAACTCTAACTCTGGCAGTGCATTAAAGAAATTCCTAAAAACAAGAAACAGAAATATTTCCAAACAGCTGAGCGAGCATCCAGTACCTCTTTACAGACCCTTAAAAAAAATATATATATCTTGTTTCATTATGTGGCCAGCTGGATTTGAACAAAATGCACGAAGAACTTGAGTTCTAAACTAACCCTCAAGTAAAATCCCTTTAGTTGTACCCACAGGGTTTAGGCTACATTGATATGAAACCTCCAAAAAGTTGCTGTCTGCCAACTTTCAACCTCCAACTCTTCCCCAAAGCAGAAGTAACGCCCTTAGAGAGTACTGCCACTATTTAAGTTTTATTAGATACATTTCTGAGCAAGTGATTTCCCCCAGTAGAAGGTTTTATCACTTATTTTCTCGACAGAAAGGGCTCAAGGTCAGGAGTTTGTCCAGAAGAACGTGTGCTCTGCCTGCAGCAGCTCCCACTAAGGTATGCTTGATAAACCTCTGTCAGCAGGACAGAGGTCAGGTTTCTGTTCAAACTCAGGTGCTGAAAGAAAATCATTGCACTTGAGTGTTCTGGTACCTCCACTAGACCTCTCCAATCAAATCCAGCCTTTCAAAACTTCCAGGAAATCCGTATTTCTAAATGTTACCCTGTCAGAAGAAGTTCACAGTTCACCATTTTCCTAAACACATTCCCAAACTGAAAAACCCACACAAGGACAAACGGGAATCCATCACAGCCCTTAAATAGGAAGAAGGACCAAAGCCAAGCCGATGATCTCCCCGGCTCAAGTTGAAGCATTTCATAACTTACCATGTCTCTGCCTGAAGATTCCTGGCCCATCTCAGGTCATCCTAAAACACAACAGTGGAAAAGCACTTCTTGGCTTGCTTTGCTTGGCTGCAAGAGCACATTTTAACTAAAATCCAAAGACCTTCCTGCCCTCTTGCACTTCCAGGGATCCATCATTGACCACAGGTTTCCACTCTATCCCCTCTGGAACAAGTGCACACGGCTGACCAACAGCTCCCCTGAAAACTCAAGATAAACTTACTCAGGCCCAAACTCCTGAATCCTCAAGGTCCTTTCCTTCAGGAGTGGATGCTGCTGAAGGCTGGCATTTGTTTCCAATTAACATTCTTCCCGTTACAGCCTGTGTGGTAGCCATAGGCATTCCAAGTGGCTTCTCAACCTCTCTGTCCCCTCCATTTCACACATTTCAGCCTTGGACTCGTAAAGCCGAAACCAAGCTGGTGACAGCATCCCAAATTCTCAGCAACAAGTACCAAAACCATCTTTCTACTGCTCCAGTGTGAATACAGGAGTGTGATTTCCCTGCAGGAAGGCAGGGTACTTGGCACAGGAAAATGCTTTACCTCCCTCCCTCCCTCCAGGCCTGAAAAGGCCAGGTAATATTAAGCCTCAGAGCACACAGCACAATACTCCTCATTTTCATGAGGGATTTGAGTACCAGGGATTCTGGGAGCTGGAAGATTTCCTCCTGAAGCCCAGTCCCTACAAGTAAGGCAGTAGTGGCCTCTTCTTTTCTGCTTTCAAACAAAAATAGGGGATTATATTAAGTAAAACAAGCTAAAAACAAAATAATTTACCATTACCCCAATTGCGAAGTTAATTAAGGCAATCAAATTATGAACAGGTACCTCGACAAACGAATCCACAAAGCTCAACTCCTTAAAAAAAAGGAACACGTGGATGTGTGCACTCACCTTAATGATGAACCTAATATACACAGGCTTCTTTAAACATCCCCACCCAAACCCAAAGCCTGTAACACCCCAGTTGTGTGCAGCAAAAATGGATCAAAACCATCAGGGTGCCACTGACGTAAAGCACTAATCCCATATTCTGAATTTTTTTTGTGATCCCTGAAACATAGAAAATGGAGCAAAACACCTCACTCAGGAAAGCAGCAGCTGCTGTTGCTTTCAGCACTATGCTGAGCTTCAAAGGAATGAAGAATACCTTATTTACCATCAGAAATCAGGCAGAATAATTAAATACAGATAGGATATTACAGAATTAAAATATAATCATATCAATTATATTAAATACATTATATTAATTTTAGTAATTATATTTTATTTATTATATTATATATAAAAAAACAGAGTCCTGCTGCCAGCTGTCCACATGGCTGCACAAATGCAGGGCTTTGCAAAGACAACCAGGGATTGTTCTGACACCTGCCCACTTCCCTTGGGCATCCTCAGCCACAAAGAGGGAGCAGCAACTGAGTTCTTCCCATTATTTCCAAGCTCGGCCGTGTTGAACACTGGGTTACTTCAAAGGGGCACGGCAGCGAGGTGGAAAAGAAGTGTACACTGTAAAGGACAGCCTGATTAAGTTCTGAAACAGCACCAAGATGAAAGACAGAGGAAGAAAAATGTTTTGGTCCAATCCTTGCCTGCCAGTGCTGGATTTCAGAACTTGGCAGCTGACAGGAGCTGGAGCACCCCCGTGTGTACAGCAGCGCACTCAACAGCACTTGGACACCTTTTTTCTTTCCAGAAACCGTGGAATCGTGCCAAAAATGACACTCAGTCCGGGGAAAAAAATTCTTGCACTTCAAGGAATCCACCCTAGTAACTGAACTTTGGATGAAGAGTTTGGATTCCCCACTAAAACAAGCCCAAAAGACAACCAGGTGGACTGGCTAGGTGTCAAATTCTCTGGCAGACAGCAGCATCCCCTCCAGCACCCTGTAAAAGGTGTTGGATCGTACTGACAGCTCATTCCTGAATGGGACAGGGGCCAACTCACCCCAACTCCAGTATTTCAGGCTAATAATCAGAGGAAAGTTAGCAAGGAAAACTGCCCTCCTTTCTAAAACCACAACTCTTTTTTATCACTACTGGGTTTTGCTCATCTACTTAGGATTTCTTTGTTTTCAGCAAAGCCAGAAGAGGAAGCAAACGGGAGAGGTGGAGACACAGTTAATCCAAACAGAGCTACAGATCACAGTGCTTGCATAATAAAGTGTCATTCACAAAGAAAACCGTACAGGCTTTGTTAAGACACTTCAGTCGGGTTTCTCAGAGAACACAGCAACACACCTCTTCTGATTTTGTCTCCAGAAACCTCCCTTGGCCCTTCCACAGTCAGGGACGACTCCCTGGACCTGACACACAGCATAGCATTACATGTATCTTTGCTCCATCTTTGTCTCATCAGCATGGACTGACAACAAAATAATTACATTGCCATGAAAAGGCAGACAGCCAACTCCAATTCTCTTTCCTAGAAACAGCATCAAACACTGAGACGAGGATTTCAGGCCAGAAAACGTATTGGAACGGAGTCATTACTATGGCTGAGAACAGAGGTAAGCTTTTGGGTAACCCATGTCTTTTTCCAGGGCACAACCACCGAAGATAAAAGCATCACAGCCCTGTTCTCCAAGCCCACACAGCATCTCCAAGACAGAGAATGAAACATGTATTATCCAGCCAGGATATTCCAGCACATATTCAGGGAAGATGTACTTGCCTGACCTCAATTCCTTTAGCTCAGGCTCCCTCCTAAGTACATGCAGGGTTCCAACAACCCTCTTCCAGACCTAAAATAATGCTGTGAGAAACCCACCACCAAATACACTCACTGGAGGAACCTTCTTCTCCTTTAGCTCACACTGGCAGGTCTTGCAGTAGCTTTAAAAGGTACAAGGGGTGTAAAACAAACATAAATAAATGGAGAACTGCAAACCCAGCGATGCCAGTTTCCTGCATTGAACATATGGGGTCCTGACAGAGCTGTGAGGCATTTTTTTCAGTGACCAGTTTCACACCCCTCTTTATGCTTCCCAAGAAATCTCACGTTGTTTTTTCACTAGACAAAAGACACAGCTGCTGTCAGCCTGCCCTGCTCCCAGGCTGGGAACGTGAGCCCCTCTCAGGTGAGGCTGCTCAGGAAGGAGAGGTGACTTTCCTCAGCACTGCACGGAGCACCAGCTCCCTCTACCACCAGCTCTTCAGAAAAAAAATTCACTCCCTTTTGCACAGCCTTTTTCCAACACCTTCAGATGAGGCAAAACGACAATATTCATTCACAGCAATCTCTAAGACCTCTAACAATCCAGAACATTGTCCTACCTGTAATGCAGACCTGGAAAGGGCTTTATCACATTCCTTCTGATCTCCTTACCTGGGGACTTTGAATTGTTAAGACACCATTAGATGAGATGCTTTCGGCTGCTTTACCTTCAGTTTCACACCTGTTTTGGGGAGTTTTTTTGATACAAGAATATCCTGGCAGCATCCAGATCTAAGTCTATCACTGATGTTCTGAGCCTCCTAGCAGCGAAAACAGTGAAAGCCATCAGTGAAACATCCCCACAGGTGAAGTGCAGTATTATATTATTATTATATTAGTACAATGACATCTGCACTTTTTCTTCTAAACTGATGATTTTAGTCAGCAAGTGCATCTCAGCCCAACCTGTAAAGTTCCACTAGGCTATCACAACCATTCAAATAAACGCTTCCCAGTCTGCGTTAAAAATTCTGCTTCTGAATTTTCGCTAGCTTACACCACCGCAGCAGCTCGGAATCTTTTAAAAAGGTAAAGTAAATCATTAATTCCTGATAATTTTAACAAAAAAACCCCAAACCTCTTCACCTTCAGGACTTAAGAGTGAAGAAGAGGCAGGGTATATGAGACACAGTTTTATTTAACACTCACCTGGCCCAATTTCTTAGGATAATTCAGGAGACAAACCTGGATTTCTGGACTACTGCAACTGCGAAAAAGACCACCCTTGAAACAAAGCTTCCCAGTAAAGACACATTTTTGCTGACCAATCCCTCTTTACGGCCAGCCAGCGTTTTATTGGGAAAATAAATACACAGCAAGTAAGTACATCTCACTAAAACAGCACTACTTCATTGCTGAGACAGCTCTTCCTGGAGTTCAGTGGCGCTGTTTCCTGAAGCTGTACTTGGCAGCCAAGGCAGCCACCATGTCCCTGTAAGGAGTATCCGAGTCGGATTTGGTCCTTGGAATGCAGCAGAGGCGGCGGAAGGCGGGAGAGCGCAGCAGGAGGTTGTGGCACAGCCCCACCAGGCTCGAGGACAGCCAGTACAGCGCCATGGACTGCAAGGAGACAAGCACAGCTCAGCTCCCTGGAGGCAAGGACAACGCCGGCCTGAGGCAACGCCTCCCCAGCCACAGCTCGGGGCTACTGCCAGCTACTGAGAAAAAGGACTCACCTACAACACTCCTCCTCTCCCTTGCAATAATGGCTTCCATGTGAAATGTAACTGTCTTTCAACTCCTCTGGGGAAAAGAGCCATCTACACTGAGGCTCGACACTTCTTAAATTGACTCCTATTAAACTTGGCTTCAACTTCTGTATTTGAAACTAGAATTAAGCCAAACAACCAGACAGTGTTTTTGCTAAGAATACTCTGCAGCAGAAAACCTGGTAAAAATGAGAAGCGTTTGAAGAAAGATGTGGAAAATTTCCCAGTTTAAGAACTACACTGGTTTCCACCTAACAAACAATCACCTATGGGTCTTTACATAAAGCTTTCCTCTCCTTTTTCAGGCTACATGAAGGACATTAACTCCTTGCAAGCTCGCAAAGTCTTCCTCCCTGAACAAAAAAAACATTCCAAAGGCAACAAGATTTAAACACACACACACAGACAGAACATTTGATTGATTTTTTTTTTAAGCACGCAGCAGTGGGAACAGGAAACACGTGGGGCTGTCCTTTAACAGACCAGCCACAGGTGAGATCCCAGAGGTCACCTGGCTACTTACGGAGGGCACTGTGGCAGCAATAGGGATCATCACCACCGACACCAGGCGGAACAAGTTGGTAACAAGGTTCTGGAAGCGGGAAACTGGCATTTTTCTTTGGGAGGCAAAGATCTGAAAGAGGAGAAACTCACAGTTATGAAGAAGGTCTCTTTGAAACGGCCGTACTGAGGATTAATCTCATTAGAGAAGTGTTCTAAAAGAAACCGTAGTCAAGGCTAAACACTACTGCAGCTCAGGGAGGTCTGACACACGTCACACCCGACCTGGAGGTCTCTGAACAGAGACACCTACACATGAAAATACACGGAGCAAACAGGTGATGGTTCACTTCTGCCCAGTGCATTTAGAGCAGTGATCATCTGCAGCCACCTTTGTGAGCTAAAGTCTGCATCAGACTCTACTGCAGTCACCTGCAGCCACCGCTGCTGGTTCATTCCACCAACGTACCTCCACCACCAGCAAATTCACCAGCCCCAGGGCTACTGGCAAAATCCACGTGGAGTCAGGTGCCGTCAGGTCTCTAAACCACAGTGCTCCTCCTGAGGAAAACTGCTCTTGTACTACAGGAAAAATTTGAAGGAAACACAGAATTCAGTGTACTTTGCTGTGTCAAGTGAGCCAGAACTGCACCATGTGTTAGATCATAAACCCAAGTTTCTAGGTACGTGGTAAAAGCTGAGACCCAGCTCAGCTCATGACAGCCAGGGGCAGGTAAATCTGTGATAAAAAATAGCTGGATCCCAAATATTTGACAAGGCAATGAGGAAAATAAGAGTGCAATAACCCAAAGTGCTTATTTCCTGATTTTTAAAAAATTACGTTTTTCTTAGGAACTGTGTAACGAGACACATTTTTGCTTAAAAGAACAAATTAAAAACTCCTGTCTAAAAAAATCGGCATATAATTTATACATAGTATATAATTTTATACACTATATATAGTATAAAATTTTTATATAATGTATAATTTACATAATATGTAATTTTATATGGTAAATAATTTTATATACTATATATAGTAAAAATTTTATACAAATTTTTATACAAATATATACTTATATGTATAAATATTTATATAAATATATATTCATATATAAATTTTTATGTAAGATATCATTTTTATAATGTATAAATTTTAATATAATGTAAATTTATATATATTTTTATAATGTATATTCTATATAGTTTTTATATAATGTATTTATATAATATATAATCTTACATAGTATATAATTTTATATACTATAATTAGTATAAAATTTTTACATAATGTATAATTTTTATAATGCATACATTTTAACAGAATGCATATCTTTATATATACATTTTATACTGTATTTTATATATAACTTTCATAAAATGTATAATTTATATAATATATAATTTTTATAGTATATAATTTTATATACTATACATAGTATAAAATTTTTATATAACATATTTTTATAATGCATACATTTTAACAGAATGCATATCTTTATATATTTTATAATGTATATTTTATATATAATTTTAATATCATGTATAATTTATATACAATTTTTATATAGTATATAATTTTATATACTATATATAGTATAGAATTTTTACATAATGTATAATTTTTACAATGCATAAATTTTAATAGAATGTATATTTTACATATACATTTTATAATATATATTTTATATATATTTTTATAAGATGTATAATTTTTATATAGTATATAATTTTACATAGTATATAATTTTATATACTATATATAGTATAGAATTTTTACATAATGTATAATTTTTACAATGCATAAATTTTAATAGAATGTATACTTTTATATATACATTTTATAATGTATATCTCATACATAATTTTTATATCATGTATAATTTTCTATAATGTATAATTTTTATAAATATATATTTGTTTTTATACATTTTAAATATATTTTTTAATGTATACATTTTATAGTATCATTTAAAAGATGCTCACAAATTCACCTGGTCCACAGCATTCCACGTGGAAGGAAAAAAAATAGAGATTAACAGTGAGTGTGCCGTGGCACGTGGATTACTTGCTAAACAGGATTATCAGGCTACATTAAGCTTATAACTAATTTAAAATTCTATTAATTACCAATGATTTATATTAATTAATTAATTAGATTCAACTCGGAACTACATTCAGTTTGAAACCCGAGCAGCTGACGGGTTTTGTATCAGCCTGCAGACCAAGCCCAGGACGTGGCGCTCTTTAAGGAAGGAGGTGCCCGTGAGAGCAGCGAGCAGTTTGAGAATTGCCAGCGAGAATTACCTGCTGGGCCCAGGGCGCCGACGCTGCAGTTGCGCAGAGCCAGGGACACGCACACCCACATGGGGACCTGCACCCACAGCAGCACGGTGGCTTTGAAGGGGTGGCAGTTGTCCCGGATGTACAGCTCCGTGAGGATCCGCCGCATGTTCTTCCTGAAGTGGAACCTTCCGGAGAGAAAAGCAAAAGCTCAGCTCTGAAACGGAATAGAATAAATCAATCGGTCACAGGCGGGGAAAGAAAACCCAAGCTTTGGGCCAAGGCAGCATCTTGGTTTTTTGTGTTCGTGGGATCCTCCCCCTTGCCACGGATTCAGGAGGTGTGTACGACGCCCCTCGTACCTGGCCACCTTTTCAGACCACCCCAGCTGCTTTCCACGCACTGACACTTCATAGCGAAGGCGCTTGGCAAGGTCCTCCACCTCAGGCTGCAGGTTTTCCAGCTAGCTAAAAAAAAACGGGAGCTGTTTGGGCACAGTGGTAGGTAACAATTGCTTCCTCTCCTCACCTCTGTTATCAGTTATCCCTGGTAATTCAACACCTGAACAAGTATTAAACTTACTAATTATCACTGTAAAAATTAATATCTGTACAGGAACTGGACATGCACACTGCCACCATATAATTTAATATTATACCATATAAATTAATATTACACATATTAATTACCCTTCTATGATTTAATTCTGGCACAGGTATCAAACATATTAATTATCACTGCAATTTAACACCTGTACAGGTAGTAAATGCCTGCGAAGGATAAGGCATCTTGTTAAGGTTTTGTTCAACATCAGTGAACTCCCTTCGTCTTTAAATAAAGTAACCATGTGAAAGTAACAGTGACAAGAAGTAATTACAGTAACAATCAAAGTTCCCTCTTACTATTGCTCGAAATGAAGAGAGAATTTTACTCTTTTTAGGTTTTATACTTTTTCAAGAAGAAAATTATTTCTATCACAGCTGAAACCAGGGCAATTCTTAACAAGTATCTTTTTTGCCTCTATTCAGGACCTGTAATCAGCTGCTTTGGCTTAAAAAGACAGCTTTAGTGCCACCTCAACGATAAAAATAAACAAACAGCAACAATAAAAACTAATAATAACATAAAAATATAAACCTGTAAAAATAGAAAAAATACATAATTATTAAGAATATATTATTTACGATATACTGTATGTAAGATGTAAATACATTGTGCTATACATGATAGAAATATATAAATAGTATATGTAATAATATATATATACAGATATACATATATATAGATAAAAAGAGTAATAAAGTAACACTTTATACATTTATAAAATTCACGTATGTCCATGAGGACACAACTTGGCAGTGAAAAAAAGCACCCACAGCATGAGAGACCCCACCAGTATGCGAGAGCGCAATAGACGCTCGCTTTTGCAACCGAAAAAAGCACAAAACGTAACGAAATTCCTTTAAAAAACACAACCCAAACCCGGTGCGATAGCAGAACCGTGACGTTTATTCACAGGTTTACTGAGGGGCCGTCTATTTACCCCTTCACCGGTGCCTCTCCCTCAGAGCCTCTCCCGCCCCTCAGAGCCCCCTCAGCGCTCCCACCTTAGCCAGCAGCCGCCCCTGGTGCGCGGCCAGCGGGAGGGTCACGGCGCTGCGCAGCACGGCGGCCCCGCCGGCGATGGCGGCCCAGCAGGGCAGCCCGGTGGCCTCCTGCAGCGCCGCCAGCCCGCCCTCGGCCCAGTGCACGGGCGCGGACCGAGCCGCCCACTCGTACCAGCCCTCGGTGCCGCCGTGCCCCGCTCCCGCCGCCGCCGCCGCCGCCGCCGCCAGGGCGGCCGGCGGGCGCCCCCGCCCCCC